GTTTGGTTCCTTTGATATAACCAGCAACTGAGCACGTGTTTTAATTTCCTGAAAGCGATTGTTGTTGCCTGCTAATTAGTATGGAATACAGAAAGCATGTAAAACACCTGGTCTTACCTTTGGTATTCTTAGGTGCACAGATTTACCTTTCATGTAACAACTGCAAATAACAGGAGGAACTACCAGGAAACGTATCATGGTGTAAATCAGAAAACTCTGAATTTGACTGCGTTTAAAGAAAGACACCAAACTCAGGGTAAAAGCAAAGTGAAAAGTCAACTTTATTGACAGAAACAATCAAACTGGATAAGTGCACTGGACAGAAGACACTTATTTTACTTGAGGGTAAGACTGAGTTGATAACTAATATATTAACCTGGGAACCTATGATGAACTGTCTTCCAGTTTAACAGAACTTGGCATTATATACAGTATTATATTATAATATAATGTCATCCTTCATGCTCGTACACTACCCGTGTCACTGTTGGTCTTTTCAATGCAAAATGAGATAATAATAACCTCCAGGTATCACCTGACCTGCCAGTGAAAAATATCACCGTTCGCCTTTATATGGTGTATTCAACTTTACAGCAGTCTCTCCCACGAGAAAGTGAACATGTGGCATCATATAGGAATGACTCAGAACAATAAGTAATTAGAGAGAAAAATCATAGTCATATTCCTTGACCAGTGTTCTGTTGTTAAAACAAGAAACTGTTAGAAGCAAATGTGTGGGATTTTTTAAAATTCTTAGTGAAGTTGAAACGATCACCTTGCTAACTAAAGATAATTTATACGAAGGATGGGTTTGTATACCATTGAATCGAGTTTTCAAATTTCTGTAGGTAACCGTTACCTTCTACTGTTATAACATTGATCTTTGGGGGTTCCATGAAGTACGTATCTATTTTGTGCACTGACGTCAGCACAATAAATTAATAAAACAGACTAAGAAATCATGAAATAAAATTGACAGTTTTACTAACGCTGACTTGCTGCTGAGGGAAAATGAAAAACGTCGTTTTTTTTTTTTTTTGGTTTTCAGTTGTGTCTTCTTTCTGGGGTGCTATAAAATATTGAATTGAAAAAAATGTTTTATTGAAAAAACTTTTTAGGTTCGAGATGAAGCGGATACGAGAACTGATCTATCGCATTAAATATCAAACGTTGGAACTTGTACATGAATATCTTATTTTGTTACCTTATCAAAATGTCAGGAATAACGACGATATTTTTATTTTTGAACTTGTTGTTTCTGATTAAGCCTAATTGTTAGAAAGTATAAGAACGTTTCTGTAGACAACGGTTCATCAAAACAATCAGTTTATATATATATATACGTTAGGCTTAAGAACATACTGTTGTAAGCTTTATTTTCCATGTTTTAACTTAGAAGTTACCTAGAGGGCGCATGATATCAAGATGAAGTAAGTGCGGTTTGTGATTGAACTTCCACCGTAAATAGCGGCTTGGTCAGTAGAGGTCGTATTGGTGAATTTTGACCGCCTCGAAGACAGCTTTACTGACTAACTCAGATGAAATATTGCGACTGTAACTTGAAAAACGGTCGTTACTTCCAAACACTAGGAAACATTTGTGGAGTTCTAGCGGGTGAAGAAGCGTGAATGACAACATGGCAGCCGTCTTCAGAATAACATGAATATCAGCTACCTTTTCACTTCAGTTGTAAATCTCCGAGGAAAAATAAAGTAATAATAACTAAGCAACACTACAGTGCCGACGGGGCCTTTCGACAGATACCGTAAATGCATTTATAGAAGAATCGTTTTGCATGATATCCAGTGCCAACGAGGCCTTTCGACCAATATCATAGACACATGTATAGAAGAATGGTTTTGTATGATATCCAGTACCGACGAGGCCTTTCGACCAATATCACCGACACATTTATAGAAGAATGATTTTGTATGATATCCAGTGCCGACGAGGCCTTTCGACCAATACCCTAGCCACATTTATAGAAGAATGGTTTTGCATGACATCCAGTGCTGACGAGGCCGTTCGACCAATGCCATAGACACATTTATAGAAGAACGATTTTGTATGATATCCAGTGCCGACGAGGCCTTTCGACCAATATCACCGACACGTTTATAGGAGAATGGTATTGCATGATATCCAGTGCCGACGTGGCCTTTCGACCAATACCCTAGCCACATTTATAGAAGAATGGTTTTGCATGACATCCAGTGCTGACGAGGCCGTTCGACCAATGCCATAGACACATTTATAGAAGAATGGTTTTGTATGATATTCAATGCCGACGTGGCCTTTCTACCAATACCATAGACACCTTTATAGAAGAACGATTTTGTATGATATCCAGTGCCGACGAGGCCTTTCGACCAATATCACCGACACATTTATAGGAGAATGGTATTGCATGATATCCAGTGCCGACGTGGCCTTTCGACCAATACCATAGACACATTTATAGAAGAATGGTTTTGCGTGATATGTATTTAAGACTAATATCTACCTTAATCCAATTCCAGTTCGTGTGGATTGTGTTGACGATACAGTGGATTTCCAAGCTTATCTATCTTGTCACATGAAAACGGTTCGTGTTATTTTTGGTACTTGGTCCTAACCGTGTTATCTTAGTCACTTGTGTCGAAACTCATAACTGCGTGTTTTTATTTGTTCTCGGGTTACAACTGTGTTGACGTCATAAAAAAGTAACTTGCTTGAACGTGACGGTGTTACAAAAAATGACCTTTTTTTCAGTCAGTTTTTACCATCTTCAAACACTTGTACTTTATAATGTATTTGTAATGTTTTATTTGGCATGAATTTCAGTAGTTTCTCTCTCTCACATACACACACTCACGTGTATATACACTGAGTGGTCACAAGTAAATAGACACCACCTTTTCAGAAAAAATGAAAATTTTCAGTCATATTCACAT